GAACAACAGCGGGCAATCCTGAAGTTGATCACCCTGTTGCTCTAGTCAATCTCCAACAGTGGACTCCTTACCAGGGAGGAGGAGACTCACACGTCAACCACCCTGCGGCACCCCCATCACCAACTCACAGATGCTCGAGAGCAGAGAGGGAGGAGATGGAGCGAGGGATGCTGCCTGCGAGCTTGTTGCCTCGGAGGTCTCTGGTGGGGTAAGGTGGTGGAGTGAAGAGATCGAAGATAAGAATGATGGGAGATGGGGAGAGAGTATTAGGGCCTCTAATTCAGGGGCTCCTGACCCGAGAGGGAGGAGATGGAGCAAGGAGAGAGTATTAGTAGAAATATGCCGCCTGCGAGGCTTGTTGCCTCGGAGGTCGCTGGTGGGGTGGAAAGAGGCAGGGGAGAGTGGAACCCCCATTCAGGAGAGTGGAAGGAGATGGGGAGATGGGAGGCGGGGAGATGTTATTAGGGACTCCTGTGCGGAGAGGGAGGAGATGAAGCGAGGGATGGTGCCTGCAAGCTTGTTGCCTCGGAGGTCTCTAGTGGTTGTGGATAGGCAGGAAAGGGGGAGGATGGGATGGGAGACAAAGGTAGATGCCTGAGAGCAGACAGAGTAGGAAATGGGGCGAGGGATGGTGCCTGCAAGCTTGTTGCCTCGGAGGTTGCTGGTGGGGTGGGAAATGGCAGGAAGGGGTGTGGATCGAGAGATAACAGCAGGGACGAAGCATGGAGAAACGGCGATGGCATGGCAGGGTCACAGATGCTGCCTGCAAGCTTAAAGATGTTGCCTCGAAGGTCTGTGGTGGGTGTGGAGAGACATGAAGGGGGGAGGATGGGGAGAGAACAGCAGGGACGAAGCATGGAGAAACGGCGATGGCAGGGTCGCGGCAAGGCAGGGCACAGGCAGGGTCAAGGCTGAGTGTGTGTGACTCACAGTGTCTTGAGGGGAAGAGCCTGGTTGCCTGTGACAGAAAAGGAAGTGCGTGTGATAGTAACGAGGTCAAAGCAAGCAGTCTTTCCTGGCTGCGACTCACAGTGTGTTGAGGGGAAGAGCCTGGTTGCCCATGACAGAAAAGGAAGTGCGTGTGAAAGTAACGAGGTCAAAGCAAACAGTCTTTCCTGGCTGCGACTCACAGTGTCTTGAGGGGAAGAGCCTGGTTGCCCGTGACGGGGAAGGTGCCTTGAAGGCTGTTCCCTCCCAGGCCGCTGCAAGGGAAGGTGGGAACACACGCAGGAGAAGAGGAATTGAGTCGTCTTAAAACACACATTGAGTCTTCTCGAAACACTCCGTGAGGGGAAGAGCCTGGTTGCCCGTGACAGGGAAGGTGCCTTGCAGGCTGTTCCCTCCCAGGCCGCTGCAAGGGAAGGTGGGAACACACGCAGGAGAAGAGGAAGTGAGTCGACTTAAAACACACATTGAGTCTTCTCGAAACACTCCGTGAGGGGAAGAGCCTGGTTGCCCGTGACAGGGAAGGTGCCTTGCAGGCTGTTCCCTCCCAGGCCGCTGCAAGGGAAGGTGGGAACACACGCAGGAGAAGAGGAATTGAGTCGACTTAAAACACACATTGAGTCTTCTCGAAACACTCCGTGAGGGGAAGAGCCTGGTTGCCCGTGACAGGGAAGGTTCCTTGCAGGCTGTTTCCTCCCAGGCCGCTGCAAGGGAGATTGAGCAAGCACGAGAGAGGAGGTTTGAAGTCGAATCGAAACACATCTTGAGTTGTCTCACAACACATCTTCGCGGCTTTTGGTGAAGAGCCTGGTTGCCCGTGACAGGGAAGGTTCCTTGCAGGCTGTTTCCTCCCAGGCCGCTGCAAGGGAGATTGAGCAAGCACGAGAGAGGAGGTTTGAAGTCGAATCGAAACACATCTTGAGTTGTCTCGCAACACATCTTCGCGGCTTTTGGTGAAGAGCCTGGTTGCCCGTGACAGGGAAGGTTCCTTGCAGGCTGTTTCCTCCCAGGCCACTGCAAGGGAGATTGAGCAAGCACGAGAGAGAGGAGGTTTCAAGTCGAATTGAAACACATCTTGAGTTGTCTCGCAACACATCTTCGCGGCTTTTGGTGAAGAGCCTGGTTGCCCGTGACAGGGAAGGTTCCTTGCAGGCTGTTTCCTCCCAGGCCGCTGCAAGGAAAGGTGGGGAAGCATGAGAGGAAGGGAGAAGAAGAGAACAAAAGAACCCCATTACTCTCCATTTCCCTGTGCTTGGACAAGGGGAGGGAGAACTGGTTGCAGACTCCCTGTGCTTTCTTGAACTTGAACTACAACTCTTGTGTGTGTCACATGTGATAATCCGCAAAAGTGACAGTCGAACGCGACGGGTCTTCCTTGTGTGGTTGTGAAGGGTAACAAAGGCGGGTGAAGCAGTGGCGCGTTTTGGCATTACTGGAGGGTGGGTGTAGCGTGGTTGTCAGTGGCACTAACAAGCATGACACTAACGTAAAAGGCGGTACAGGTAGGTGGTTGTAGGGAAAGCGTGAAGTAACTCTAACAAATGTGACATTATCGAGAGAGGCATTACAGGTAGGTGAGTGCAGGGAAGCCGTCAAATACAGGAACAGAGCCATTGAGCTTGTTGCTTGCAAGGTTGCTGCAGAGGAGAGGGGGAGAAAGAAGGAGGGAAAGGGCGAGAGAGGAAGGAAGATTGTGAATCAATACAAGCGGAAACCTAAAGATGGGAACAGCCGTTGAGCTTGTTGATTGCAAGGTTGCTGCAGGGGGAGAAGGATGTGGGGTAGAGGAGGGTGGGGGGGAGGGAGAGGAGGAGAGGAAGCGAATCACTGATTCAGCTTTAAGTGAATTGTGGAATATGGGAACAGAGCCGTTGAGCTTGTTGCTTGTAAGGTTTCTGCAGAGGAGAGGGACGCGGAATGGTGACAACTGTGAGTCAAGTTAAGGTTTTCATTACACATCGGAACAGAGCTGTTGGGGGGGATTTTTGCTGATGGAACTGGGGATGGTGATTCTGAGGTGACTCAGAATCAGTATCATATCAAATATTTAGAGAGAATATATATACATACAATAAATTTAGAACAAAAATGAACTCACAGGTAGGTGAGGCCGGTGAGGTTGGTGATGGAACTGGGGATGCTGTTCTCCAAAGCATTGTATTGAAGATCACTGTAACGAGGATAACGGGCAGGGAAGATGAGTGAAAGGTGGTGGGGGAGGGCTTTAAGGTCGGTGGTGGAACTGGGGGTTGATCTGTGAGGTTTGAAAGAACAGAGAAATGATGAAGGGTGTGGGATGGGGGCGAGGGGAGGTTTGAGGTGGGGTGTTTAGAGGGGGTGAGACGGACAACAGGGGCGGAAAGGCGTGAGGGGAAACCAGGAGAAAAGGGGGGATTAAACGAGGGAAAGAGGGGGAGGAAGATTAGGATGATGACGTGAGGGAGAGCGAGCAACGTACAGCCATGTGAGGGAGAGTGAGCAACGTACAGCCATGTGAGGGAGAGTGAGCAACGTACAGCCATGTGAGGGAGAGTGAGCAACGTACAGCCATGTGAGGGAGAGTGAGCAACGTACAGCCATGTGAGGGAGAGTGAGCAACGTACAGCCATGTGAGGGAGAGTGAGCAACGTACAGCCATGTGAGGGAGAGTGAGCAACGTACAGCCATGTGAGGGAGAGTGAGCAACGTACAGCCATGTGAGGGAGAGTGAGCAACGTACAGCCATGTGAGGGAGAGTGAGCAACGTACAGCCATGTGAGGGAGAGTGAGCAGCGTACAGCCATGTGAGGGAGAGTGAGCAACGTACAGCCATGTGAGGGAGAGTGAGCAACGTACAGCCATGTGAGGGAGAGTGAGCAACGTACAGTCATGTGAGGGAGAGTGAGCAACGTACAGCCATGTGAGGGAGAGTGAGCAACGTACAGCCATGTGAGGGAGAGTGAGCAACGTACAGCCATGGGAGGGAGAGTGAGCAACGTACAGCCATGTGAGGGAGAGTGAGCAACGTACAGCCATGTGAGGGAGAGTGAGCAACGTACAGCCATGTGAGGGAGAGTGAGCAACGTACAGCCATGTGAGGGAGAGTGAGCAACGTACAGCCATGTGAGGGAGAGTGAGCAACGTACAGCCATGTGAGGGAGAGTGAGCAACGTACAGCCATGTGAGGGAGAGTGAGCAACGTACAGCCATGTGAGGGTTGAGAGTGATCCCAGTGTTGATGGCAGGGACGCAGATACGTTGTTCTTGGACAGATCTCTGGAGAGGCAGGGGTCAACGGGGAAGCAGGAAGTGGGGGAGGCGCGGAGAATGACTTGTGAATGCAGGTGAGGGGTGTGAGTGATCCCAGTGTGGACGCCAGGGATCCAGATACGTTGTTCTTGGACAGGTCCCTGCACCGCGAGGGGTAGACTTTTGAGTCGACTCAAAAGCAGACTCATTACACGCGGTTTCTACATTGAAAAGTTATTTGGACGGCAGGAATCTAGATACGTTGTTCTTGGACAGGTCCCTGCACCGCGAGGGGTACAGGGGAGAGCACACGGGGGAGAGCGGAGAGGATGAAGAGTGAAGTGAATGCACTTGGGGAGGTGAAAGGAGAGAGTGTCTCAGTTTTGACAGCAGGAATCTAGATACGTTGTTCTTGGACAGGTCTCGTCTCTGGACAGCGAGGGGCACATGGGGGGATGAAGTGGAACTGTGGAAATGAAGTGGAAATGAAGTGGAACTGAAGTGGAAATGAAGTGGAACTGAAGTGGAAATGAAGTGGAAATGAAGTGGAAATGAAGTGGAAATGAATGGCACAGGGATCCAGATACGTTATTCTTGGACAGGTCTCTGGGGAGCAAGGGATGAAGGGGGAAAGCAAAAGGGGGAGAGCGGAGAGGATGAAGAGTGAATGCAGCGGGAGAGAGTGATAGAGAGTGATTCAAGTGTGAACGGCAGGGAGCCAGCCAGCGTCCCTGTGAGCTGGTTGTGCTGATTATCGTTGGAGCAGCTCACAGGTACCGATGACTTGTATCTAACCACACACATATCGTGATACCCACCGTAATCACTCACAGGAACTGCAGCTGCTTGAGGTTCCCCAGACCAGCCGACAGCGTCCCTGTGAGCTTGTTGTCGCCCAAATTCCTGGGAAAAAAAAAAATCAAACAAAAAAAGTGGCAAACAAAAACTCAAACACACAAACCTTTTGCGTGAAGTTTGGAGAATAGTACAGGGGAGTAAGTGGAAAGTGACATGTGGAGGCAGAGGGAGTGGGGCCACGACAGGCAGAGAGAGTGAGGAGGTGAGGAAAGAGGGAGGGGAGCACTCACAAGAAGGTGAGGAGTGAGAGTGTGTCAAGGAAGAGAGGAAGCGGGCCTGTGAGCATGTTGATGCCCAGATTGCTGTGATGGGTGGGAGGAGGGGAAGGGGTGAAAGGGAAGCGAATGGAGGGAGCGAAATGGAGAGAGAGGACTTCTAGTCGACTGGAAGGGTGTGGAGGAAGAGAGGAAGCGGGCCTGTGAGCATGTTGATGCCCAGATTGCTGTGATGGGGGAAGGGAACGGAGAGGGGAGAAAGGGTATAAGAGAAGGCAGGGGATGGGATGAGAGGAAACAAAAAAGGGACAAGGGAGAGGAGGGAGGAGAAAACGAATGAGAAGCTGGGGGAATAGAGGGCATGATCTTAGCTTGGTGCGGAACGGTGGATACACACACCACAACAGTTCCTGAGGATAGAGCTGCGTTTTGACTAGAACTGGGCGGGCAGCACAGCGGATGGGTAAAGGCACAGGGCAGCACAGCGCATGCTTGCAGGTGCTGAAGGGGGCAGAACGGTGGATACACACACCACAACAGTTCCTGAGGATAGAGCTGCGTTTTGACTAGAACTGGGCGGGCAGCACACGGCGTCACAGAGCACACAGAATGGGGTAGACGCAGCACAGGGCAGCACACGGCATGCTCACAGGTGCTGCAGGTTGGTGAGAGCGCCAAAGGTGGTGGGGATGTCGCTGTCGAGGTTGTTCTGAAAGAAGTTGCTGTGAGGAGAGGGATGAGGAGGTTAGGGCCGAGGGGTTGAGAAGGGCGAACGGGGAGAGGTACAGCGGAGAGGATGGGATGGGAGGTGATGGGAGTGCTGGCAGGACAGGTGGTGGGGATGTCACTGTTGAGATTGTTCTGAAAGAAGTTGCTGGGAGGAGAGGCAAAGGGGAAAGGAGGAGAGGGGCGAAAGGGGGAGGGGAGGGGCGAGCTTGTGAGAGGGCGGATAGGCAAGGAAATGCAAGGTGGTGGGATTGTGAGAGCGCCAAAGATGGTGGGATTGTGAGAGCGCCAAAGGTGGTGGGGACGTCACTGTCCAGGTTGTTCTGAAAGAAGTTGCTGGGGAAGTGATGAGAGGGGAGAGGGGAGGGGAGAGGGGAGGGGGGAAGGGAAGGGCGAGGGCCGAACCGGAGAGAGGGTGGGGCGGATTGGCAAGGGGATGCAAGGTGATGGGATTGTGAGAGCGCCAAAGGTGGTGGGGACGTCACTGTCAAGATTGTTCCGATAGAGGTTGCTGGGAGCAGAGGGGCGAAGGGGTGGAGGGACGGATTGGGGGAACTGATGAGGGACAAGGTGGTGGGACTTGTGGACGCCCCAATGGTGGTGGGGACGTCACTGTCAAAGAGGTTGGTCTGAAAGAGGTTGCTGGGAGGAGTGATGAGGACGGGAGGGGAGGAGAGGGCGAGGCAGTGAGAAGAGCGGATAGGCAAGAGCATGCAAGGTGGTGGGATTGTTAGAGCCCCAAAGGTGGTGGTGATGCCACTGTTAAGATTGTTCCGAAAGAAGTTTCTGTAAGGAGAGGGGCGAGATGAGGAGTGGTTGAGGGGAGGAGAGGGGTGAGGGAGAGGAGGGGTGAGGGAGAGGAGGGGTGAGGGAGAGGAGGAGGAGTGAGGGAGAGGAGGGGTGAAGGAGAGGAGGGGTGAGGGAGAGGAGGGGTGAGGGAGAGGAGGGGTGAGGGAGAGGAGGGGTGAGGGAGAGGAGGGGTGAGGGAGAGGAGGGGTGAAAGAGAGGAGGGGTGAGGGAGAGGAGGGGTGAGGGAGAGGAGGAGTGAGGGAGAGGAGGGGTGAGGCGAGGGATGGGTAGAGGGGCAGGAATGGATGAAGGGAAGGGAAGGATGAGAGGAAGGGAAAGAAGAAGGTAGGGCATCGGAGGGGTGAGGGATGGGGGGTGGTGACGGGAGGGGGGTGAGGGAAGGGGTAGGAAGTGTGTTTTGAGTCGACTCAAAACACACAGGGATGGGGGGTGGTGACGGGAGGGGGGTGAGGGAAGGGGTAGGAAGTGTGTTTTGAGTCGACTCAAAACACACAGGGATGGGGGGTGGTGACGGGAGGGGGGTGAGGGAAGGGGTAGGAAGAAGGGGGAGGGGAGAAGAAGGGAGAGGGGTGAGGGGATGAGCGGAGACTAGGAGTGAGGTGTGGGGCGGGGGTGAGAGCAGTGCACAGAGAGGAGTTATCATTGCACATGCGCTCAGCCCCGTGCAAGCTACTCTTGCAGTGATTTCTGGGATGTGACTATCACGGATGCAGCCATGGGCCAGTGGGGCCTGATCTGAACAGTGCGAGGTTACTTTTGAGGCGCCTCAAAAGTTAATATTGCACAGATTTCAGCCCCATGCAAGCTACTCTTGCAGCGATTGTTGGGATGTGACTATATGGGATGCAGCCGTGGGCCAGTCTGGCCTGACATGAGCAGTGCGAGGTTACAGGTGCGTTGAAATGGTTGAGGCCTTTCGAAAGAGAATCCTGTGTTATAGCTTACAGGTGGGTCAGCAGAGTCAGGTTGCCGATGGACGACGGCAGCTCCCCTGCCAGGCTGATTTGAGAATTCTCAAATTCAACCTCAGAGAGTCCTGTGGTAAAGCTTACAAGTGCGTTGAAATGCTGAGAGCTTTCGAAAGAGAATCCTGTGGTGAAGCTTACAGGTGGGTCAGCAGAGTCAGGTTGCCAATGGACGACGGCAGCACCCCTGCAAGAGACGACATCTCCATTGACCTGAGGGGAAGAGAAGGGAGCGTGTGTGGTTGGAGAGGGGGGAGAGCAGCGAAAAGGGAGCTGGTCGGTCAGATGCATGGGGTGCGTCGGGTTGCTGATGGATGACGGCAGCACCCCTGCAAGAGACGACATCTCCATTGACCTGAGGGGAAGAGAAGGGAGCGTGTGTGGTTGGAGAGGGGGGAGAGCAGCGAAAAGGGAGCTGGTCGGTCAGATGCATGGGGTGCGTCGGGTTGCTGATGGACGACGGCAGCACCCCTGCAAGAGACGACATCTCCATTGACCTGAGGGGAAGAGAAGGGAGCGTGTGTGGTTGGAGAGGGGGGAGAGCAGCGAAAAGGGAGCTGGTCGGTCAGATGCATGGGGTGCGTCGGGTTGCTGATGGACGACGGCAGCACCCCTGCAAGAGACGACATCTCCATTGACCTGAGGGGAAGAGAAGGGAGCGTGTGTGGTTGGAGAGGGGGGAGAGCAGCGAAAAGGGAGCTGGTCGGTCAGATGCATGGGGTGCGTCGGGTTGCTGATGGACGACGGCAGCACCCCTGCAAGAGACGACATCTCCATTGACCTGAGGGGAAGAGAAGGGAGCGTGTGTGGTTGGAGAGGGGGGAGAGCAGCGAAAAGGGCGCTGGTCGGTCAGATGCATGGGGTGCGTCGGGTTGCCGATGGACGACGGGAGCACCCCTGCAAGAGACGACATCTCCATTGACCTGGCGGGGGATGGGGTTTAAGGGAGGAAGACGGGGGAGAGCAGGGAAGGGAGGATGATTATGCCCATGGCTGAAGTTGCCTGTAGACAACGGCAGCACCCCTGCCAGCAACGACATTTCCATTGACCTGGCGGGTATAGGGGGGGTGAGGTGGGTGGGTGGGTGGGTGCGTTGTGTGACGTGTCAGGAAACTGGAAGACGACTTCTCAGCATGGCTGCCAGGGGCGACTTCGTATGTTGAGTCGACTCGAAACACGTATAAGGGGGGTGAGGGGGGTGGGCGGGTGGTTGGGTGCGTTGTGCGATGTGTCATGAAACTGGAAGACGACTTCTCAGCACGGCTGCCAGGGACGATATCTCCATGGCCCTGGCGGGGACAAGGGTGTAGGGGGAGGGGGGGGGGAGCGGGGGGAGAGGGAGGTGGGGAGCGGGGAGGGGGAAGAGAGAGGGAAGGTGGGGTGAGTGGGCTGCGTCAGGAGGCCCATAGACGAGAGCAGCACGGCTGCCAGGGGCGATATCTCCATGGCCCTGGCGGGGGATAAGGGAGTACGGGGAGGACTTTTGAGGCGCCTCAAAAGGCGATATCTCCATAGCCTTGGCGGGGATAAGGGCGTAGGGGGAGGGGGAGGTGGGGAGGAGCGGGGGGTTGAGAAGGTGGGTTGGTTGTGTGGAGAGGCGGGTGAGGCGCTCACCAAGTTGTCACGAGGCGAGCGCAGCGGCTGCCAGCGACGATATTTCCTTTGGCCTGGTGGGGATGGGAGAGCGGGCGGGAGAAGGGATCCTGTTACAGTCACACTCACATCTTCATGATCGTCCCGTTACTGTCAGACTCGAGTCACTCCTTCACAATTTCCCCGTTACAGTCACGCACTCACATCTTCACAATCATCCCGTTACAGTCACAAACTCACATCTTCACGATCATCCCGTTACTGTCACACTGCAGCCCCTCCGCAGTGGCACAATCCTCCCCCGTGGTCCATCCCGTGAAGTTGCGAATCCACAGCGCCTGACAGTCGAGGAGAACAGGGACTGGGGACGGGATTGGGGGGGGGGCGGGGAAGAGGGGGACTGGGGATGAGGAGTTGTGGAGCAAAGCCCCTCCGCAGTGGCGCAGTCCTCCCCCGTCGTCCATCCCGTGAAGTTGCGGATCCACAGCGCCTGGCAGTCCAGGAGAAACGGGACTGAATAAGCGAGTGCAGGAGGAAGGATAGGGGTTCGGAAGAGGGATTGCAGGGAGAAGTGGCATAGTCCTACACCGCTGACCACGCCGTAGCCTAGAGAGTGTTTTGGGTCGATTTAAATCAGTGTCCTACCGCATTGACCATACCGTGAAGTTACGTGCGACTCGCATTTAGGAAGATTCAAATGGAGGTCTTGAGGGCGAGAGCGGGACAGGGAGCGGAGCAAGGGAGAATGGACTATCGATCACTTTCGAGAATTCTCAAATGCCGTGACTTAATAAGTCAATGAGAACGTGTCTTGACAAGATGATACTCGGATCTCCCTAGCATGAAAACCCGAACGATCACACTTAGAGCATACTCGTGCATGAAAACCCGAAAGCTTGGTTCAATATGGAGTCACGTCAGATGGGAATATGACGGGAAGCAACCTGAGGCACCGCTGGCCTTGACCGTGGAACATCTAACTGGCTATAGAGAATTCTAACAACCAGCTGATTGCACGTGGAAAAATCTCCTTGAGTCCACCAAAATGTCAATCGATATCGCAAGGAGGATCGGCGCAACTCACTTTGCGACGGATCGACTGGCTGCGATCGAACGAAAAGAGAAGAAATCGGAGCTGCGAGAAGCAAAAAGGCGAGAACGAGCAAGGTTCGGTTGACCGCTGATGCTCGGCTACTGCTACTTCGCCTCATTGTTAACCGCGATTTGGCTGCTCTATGGATAGAAGTATCGACCTACAATAAGTTACTGCCAGGACAATTCGGAAACAGAGTGTGTTCGTGCGTAAAGACGACCACCTGAGCAGAAAATGGGGTGGATTGGAGAAAGCTACTGCTACTAAATAAAAGATAACTCTTTTCAACAGGTATGTATCGCCTCATCGAGATCATGGACAGGAAAGCCTGGTTGGGCATTGGGACTGTCGAGTCGCGACGCGACTGTTTTCTGTGAACCTGTCAGTCAAGCGAGGTCCGCACCGCGCGTCAGTCCCGCAAATTTGTGGATCATGGATACATTCCAATGCGACAGTCTACAGGCCGACTCGGTTAGACAACGAGGGTGCAACAATCAGGTCGGAATCAATGTGCGGATTTGACATAATGTATGGATATATCAATTCCAAGGGTCCTACTATTGTTGCGTTTGCTTCCAATCCATCCGTACAATGATTGCCAACCTCCAACTGCAGAACTAAAGAGTTGATGAATTTTTATCCACCTATATACAGCTATCAAAAAGGGTTACCAGTCCCGACCCCCCCTCCCCATCCCCATATGTACATGCAACGCTACTGAAGCAACCTCCAATATTGTCGATGCGTAACCCACGGTTGCACCTGCATTACAGACACCATCTCCACTCAATGGAATTCTGCTCCTTCAAAGCCTCGATGGAATTCCTATCAATAAACCAATAAAATACGAACCTTTCTAACCTGGCTTCTATCACTGTGTACCCCCACCATCTGGTGTGTCTTCAATAAGTCCTCCCCTGTCACCATCCCCCATGCTCTCCACCCTCATAATCTGTTCCTCCAACGTCTCTCCCACACCAATCGCCAGCTCAGAGTCAATCCTAATCGCTCGCTCGTCCACATCGCCACCTGTCAGCTCGGCTCGCATCGCCTTGAGACCTCCAATGATCCGCATCATATCGGGGCGCGATGCGGTCGGCATGGCCGTACAGCTCAGCGCCAGCTCAGCGAGGCGGAGGATGACGTCAGCAGGGCCTTCGAGGCGAGGGTCTTTGAAGGATGCCACGTCATGAGCAGAAACTAGAGGTGCCACCTGTAAGGGAGACAGGGGAGAGAGGAGTGAGAGGAGTGAGAGGAGTGAGAGGGTGGTGGGATTGAAGCTGATTCACACTGGTCTTCAATGTGCCTCAAGACAAATCAACAACGGGTGAGCAGCGCAGCACTGTACATGTTAAAGGATACATATGAATGACAGATGTGTTGCTCACTACTGATTCCTGAGTTGGTCAGCAACCCACCCATGACATGACCCATATCATTAACCTCGTTAGCGAGTCAGCTAAACCATGCCCAAACCGTGAGTGGGGTAGTCAGCTTACTCGTGCTTGGAAGTGAACTGGCAAGTCAACTCACCCATGCCTTGAGGTTGACTCTGCTCGTGTCCTGCTGGGTGCGCACGGCATGCTGTGCTGTTATCACCGCCAGCATCACCACTCCAAAGCTGATAGTGCGCAGTGGGAACACATGGCAAGGCATGTGGGACGAAATCCAGGTATTCATGGAAAGACATGTGGGAATGCAGGGGCACATGTAGGGGAACATGTAGGGGCACATGTAGGGGCACATGTAGGGGCACATGTAGGGGCACATGTAGGGGCACATGTAGGGCACATGTAGGGCACATGCAGGGCAGGGGGCACATGCAGGGCAGGGGGCACATGCAGGGCAGGGGGCACATGACAAGAGAAACAGACGGGGACACGCATGTCGAAAAGCCATGGAAAGACATGTGGGAATGCATGGGCACATGTAGCGGCACATGCAGGTCAGGGGGCACATGACAAGAGAGTACCGTTCTGTACCAGGCTGTACCGCTCTCTGTACCTGTGCACATCAGCCATGGGAGTAGCCTTTTGTAACTTAAAATAAGCGGAGTCCACGTAGCCCCGCATGCCCATCACTCCCATGCGTTTCCTTACTGGACAACACAGCCTCGCACCGCTCTGTACCGCAATGCAACACTCAATACAATGCTGTACCGCACGGTACCACACTGTACAGCTCTGTACATGTGCACATCAGCCATCGGTGTAGCCTTCTGTGACTCGAAGCGGGGTCCACGTAGCCCGGTGTGCCCATCACTCCCATGCACTCTATTACAGGACAACACCGGCTTGCACCACTCTGTACTGCTCTGCACCGCTCTCTACCACTCTGTACTGCTCTGTACCACCTACCTGTGCACATCCGCCATGGGGGTGGCCTTCTGTGACTTGAAGTAAGCGGGGTCCACATAGCCCGGTGTGCCCATCACTCTGGTGTTGCCCACTGTGCTGCCCTCCCCTTCCCTCAGCAGCCCAAAGTCTGCAATCTTGGCCTGGTGGGGACGGGGAAGAGAGGGGGAGGGAAGGGGGTGTGACAAGGGCGGGATAAGGATATATGATAGCTGCATAATGGGGCCGAAATCAAATCTTTAGAACTGGGAAATGGGGTGGCAAGTGATAAACCTTCAGGTATCCTCTCTTAAAAAAAAAAAAAAAAAACATGTTCAATATACTTTGCAGTAACGCATATGTGCACAGAAATATATATTCATCGATATACGCATGTAAATATTTACAGTATTACCTGGAACTTGCACTCAAGGAGGATGTTCGCGGGCTTGATATCCCGATGCACGATGCCAAAGCTGTGTAGATACTCCAAGCCAAGGGATAGTACTTGCACGAAAAAGGTACAACTCTGAGCAAGCTCACATTCATCTTGCCGTCTAGGAGGATGTTGGCGGGCTTGATGTCGCGATGCACGATGCCAAAGCTGTGCAGATACTCCAACCCATGGGCAGCGCCAATGAGGATGTCCACACGCTCGAGCAGGGAGAGCGGCTTCGGTGCCTCTGATGGGAGAAGGGAGGGAGGTGAAAGTAGGGAGCAGATAGTGGTGAAGACTTTTGAGGCGCCTCAAATGCAGATGCTCCAAGCCATGGGCCGCACCAATGAGGATGTCCACACGCTCGAGCAGGGAGAGCGGCTTCGGAGCCTCTGATGGGAGAAGGGAGGGAGGTGAAAGTAGGGAGCAGATAGTGGTGAAGACTTCTGAGGCGCCTCAAATGCAAATGCTCCAAGCCATGGGCCGCACCGATGAAAATGTTCACACGCTCGAGCAGGGAGAGCGCCTTTGGTGCCTCTGATGGAGCAAGGGACGGAGGTGAAAGTAGGGAGCATGCATGAAAGTGCACGATGCCACAGCTGTGCAGATACTGCAACCCATAGGGAGAGTGGCTTTAGTCCCTCTGATGGGAGAAGGGAGGTGAAAGTGTAAGTATTGAGCATTAAGACGTCTCAAAGCTGTGCCAGTGCCCTATCCCATGAGTGGCACCAATGAGAGTGTCCACTCGCTCGGGCAGTGACAGCGGCTTTGGTGCCTCTGATGGAACACGGGAGGAGGTAATCAGGAGCCCCTTGGAATGATGAAACGCAAATCAGGCAAGACAGGCTCATATCACAGGTCGTGTTGATAGATGCTTACCGTCTCCAATCCAAAGGTCGAGATCTTACCGTCTCCGATCCAACGGTCGAGATCTCCGTTCTCCATGAACTCATACACCACCACCTGCTCCATCTCCTCCGTGTCCGCGTTGAAGTCGATGCAGAACCCCAGCAGCCTCACCAGGTTGGGGTGGTGCTTCGATGCCATAGCGTTCACCTGGTGAGATGAGATGATGAGATGAGAGAGTAAGGGGGTGGAGGAATGTGAAAGATGGAGAAGCTGTGAGCGGAGATGCCAACCTTCGATGCCATCGCATTCACCTGGAGTGGGTGACGGAGGAAGGGGAATAGGGGTGCAGTGCGGTGCTGCTGGGTTCATGTCCACGCAGAACCCCAGCAGCCTCACGTGGTGCTTCGGTGCCATGGCGTTCACCTGGTGAAATGAGACAAGAGTATGGGAGAATGGGGAAGCTGGAGACACTCTGAGCGGGGACTTCTGAGTCGACTCAAAAGTCACTTTCACAGCAGACACAACCCCGGCATCAGTCGGGCACACACCCTGGGACCCCACATCAATCCTAACAGGATAGCTACCTTCTTCGGTTGTATGGGTAAAATGTTCAAGGACAGTCAGGCGATCTTGATTGTACAGGACAGTAGAGGCACGTGGTCAGTACCTCTCTCTGAAAATCTTTTTTGTGAGCACTCGAGCGCGAATCATTCACAGCCCACTTTCGATCCGAGGCGCCTTAAAAGTCGTCTTTTTTTAGCACTCGAGCGCGAATCATTCACATCACAGTCCACAGCACAGACAGATCGAAGGGACTGACGCCCCTGTACACATCACCTGTTGAGACGTCTCAGAACTGGGTGCAGTGCGGTGCTGCTGGGAACAGTGCGGTGCTGCTGGGAACAGTGCGCTTACCTCTCTCTGAAAGTCCTTTGTCAGCACTCGAGCTCGCTTCACTGCCCACAGCAAAGTGGGATCGGTTGGGCACACGCCCCGGTACACGTCACCGAAGCCGCCGCACAAGCCACCGCACAAGCCACTGCACGTACCTCCCTCACCTCCCACCCATAGCAGTGCAGTGCGCACTCACCTCCCTTTGGAAGTCCTTTGTCAGCACTCGAGCTCGCTTCACGGCCCACACAACATTCGGATCACTCGGGCACACGCCCCGGTACACGTCACCAAAGCCACCGCTGCCAATGAGATTGCGATCCGACCAGTTGGCAGTGGCGCGCGCCATGTCAGCAAGCGAGTAGCGCTGACACACTTGCGGTGACGTGTCCGCTGCTGCTGACTCGGCGCTGATGTGGCTGCTGCGGCTGCGGCTGCGGCGGCGATATCCTGTGGGAGGCCAACGGGGGCGGGAAAGGGGGGGGAAGAGGAGGAGGGAGGGGGTATATCTCCCCGACGTGATTTTTGATATTAAAATAAAAACAGAAACTCTACGGGCGTGATTTCCTGTGCGAGGAAAAGGGGGGGTAATTCGTTGTATTGCATGATATCACAATGAAGGACCATTTTGGGGCTATTCTTGCCATGCTGCTTTTTGAGGCGCCTCAAAGACCATTTTGGGGCTATTCTTGCCATGCTGCTGCTAGCATAGCAGAGCACCCCGCAGACGAATCACCAGCAGCGCATGCATTGCTGTGTGCATGCGGCGTTTGGGTGAAATGCAACAGTCAAATCAGCCCAACTCACCGCTGTGCTGCAAGCATGGGCATAGCAGAGCACCCCGCGCACGCATCACCAGCAGCACCACCACCAGTAGTAGCAGCAGCAGCAGCACTAGCAGCACTAGCACCACAGCAATGCCAGTCAACTCACCGCCTTTGAAGAATCCGCCCCCACTCCTGGTCCCATCTCCGTGCTGCAAGCATGGCAGAGCGCCCCGCGCATGCATCACCAGCAGCACCACCACCACAAGCAGCAGCACAACAGCAACAGCAATGCCAGCAATGGCTCCCGTGGAAAGAGAAGAGGAGGCGGAGGAGGGGGGCGATGGGGGGTTTGATTCAGGTGCCAGCGGTGGCTCAGGTGGGGGGTTGGTGGATGGAGGGTTGGCAGCTGAGCCTGAGCCTGAGCCTGAGCTTAAGCCTGAGTTATCGATGCATGGGGAGCAGAAGTCAGCACAGGCCTGGCAGAACCCGGTGCTTGCAGTATGATTCACCGCACAATCGGTGGTGCCAGCTGTCGGGCACGATAAACCTGATTGGTCGAAGCTTCTGTGGAGGGAGGGGGCAGGGAAGTGGGGGGTTGGCAGATGGAGGGTTGGGAAGCGAGCCTGAGCCTGAGCCTGAGCCTGAGCCTGAGCCTGAGCCTGAGCCTGAGCCTGAGCCTGAGCCTGAGCCTGAGCCTGAGTTATGGATGCATGGGGAGCAGAAGTCAGCACAGGCTTGGCAGAATCCGGAGCTTGCATTTTGCTTCACCGCACATTCGGTGCCAGCTGTCGGGCACGATAAACCTGATTGGTTGAAGCTTCTGCTTGGGGAGAGAACAAAAAAAGAAAAAAATGAAAGAACAATCAGAACAGAAGGTAATCAGGGAAAAAGAGGGAGCATACTTTGACAAATTTAACTGCTTATCCTGAAGCTGCCCAAATGCCTGATGAATATCAGACTTGCAGAATAAACCGGTGCATTGGCTCCAGGGCTCTACCGTCTTCGTATTGATTAAGCACCTGAAAAATGAACGGCAGGGGCACTATGCGCCTTAACATTTGCGTACATGCTTGCTTCCCATGCGTGTGTGCATGCTTGCACAAAACCTTTCTTACAGGAGAGTTAGATTCGTCAGTCGTCCAAGAACGGGTGGGATGGATCCTGTGAAGTTGTTTTGACCCAGATACCTGTGCTTGTGGCATGCACGCACCATGCATGTGTGTGAGCCATGCACCATGCATGTGTGTGAGCCATGCACCATGCATGTGTGTGAGCCATGCGCCATGCATGTGTGTGAGCCATGCACCATGCATGTGCGTGAGCCATGCGCCATGCATGTGCGTGAGCCATGCACCATGCGAGTTTGTGAGCCATGCACACATGCATGTGTGTGAGCCATGCACCATGCGAGTTTGTGAGCCATGCACACATGCATGTGTGTGTGTATAGCATGTGCCATGCCATGCATGTGCCACATAGCATGTGTGCAATGCAAAACACGATATTACCAAACACGGAAAGATTTAAGGTAACAACGTTCAGAGGCTTAGGGGTTTTAAGACATACAGACAGAGGAAAGAGAGATATGATGTGATGAGATAAGAACGTACAGAGGAAGGAGAGGTATGAGATGAGATGAGGTGAGACGAGATGAGATGAGATGAGATGAAATGAGATGAGATGAGATGAGATGAGATGAGGTGAGATGAGATGAGGTGAGATGAGATGAGATGAGATGAGATGAGATGAGATGAGATGAGATGAGATGAGATGAGATGAGATGAGATGAGATGAGATGAGATGAGATGAGATGAGATGAGATGAGATGAGATGAGATGAGATGAGGTGAGATGAGATGAGGTAACAGCAACGTACAGAGCCTGCATGGCAGCCAAGGACGCCACACTTGAAGACAAAGATCCAGACAGAAGGTTCCCAGAAAGTGACCTGCAAGATATCCCAACAAAAAATAACCGACCGCACGTGTCAACTTGAGGCTGCCAAAGTTGGAGGTGGAGTTGACTTTTGAGTCGACTCAAAAGAAAGTGACTTGCTTTTTGAGACGTCTCAAAAACACCCTCTCTACACGTGTCAACTTTAGGCTACCAAAGTTGGAGGTGGAGTTGACTTTTAAGTCGACTCAAAAGAAAGTGACTTGCTTTTTGAGACGTGTCAAAAACACCCTCTCCACACGCGTCAACTTTAGGCTGCCAAAGTTGGAGGTGGAGTTGACTTTTGAGTCGACTCAAAAGAAAGTGACTTGCTTTTTGAGACGTGTCAAAAACACCCTCTCCACACGCGTCAACTTTAGGCTGCCAAAGTTGGAGGTGGAGTTGACTTTTGAGTCGACTCAAAAGATAGTGACTTGCAAGACATCCCAACGAAGAAGACCCGACCGCACAGGTCAACTTGAGGCTGCCTAAGTAGGAGGTGGAGGTTATATACATATATATATATATATATATATATATATATCAAAAGTGTCACAATTAGCTCTGAAATGAAAACGAGTACGAAAACAAGCAAAAAAAACAAACTTCCGGGGCGCCTAACGAATCGCGTTTATTTGGGATTGAGACTGCCCGAACAAATTTTCATTAACAGCTCACAGGGATCGTAGAGCAGAGAGGCCGTAGAGGTGGTTGGGAATAGTCACGTGTATGAAGAAGTGTTTTGAAGCGTCTCAAAACACTTGTTCATATACTAGCGGCTCACAGGGATCGCAGAGAAGAGAGGCCGTAGAGGCGGTTGGGAATGCTGCCTGCCAAAGTGTTGCTGCTGAGGTTCCTGGTGTGTGCGGAGTGAAGGTGAAGAACACACATGCATGTGTTTCTTGTGAGGTTCCTAGAGTGTGTGTGAAGCGAAGGGGAAGAAGAACACATGGGCACGTGTGGAGAACACACAGAAACGTGTGAAAAACACCTACCATGTGGAGAAAGCATCTTTGAGTCGACTAAATAATCGAACAGCGGGAAAGAGCAGGTTAGTGAGAGTTGTTGCAGCCAACGCACCAACCACTCAAAGGTCCAACGAAACACTTCATAAAGGTCCACTCAAATCCTGTTTCGATACAAGTTATATTTTGAGTCGACTCAAAACACTACGCACCGACCACGACAATTCATAAAGGTCCAGTCAAATCCCGTTTCGATACAACAACTTAAGCAGGTTAGTAAGAGTTGTTGAATTGAGCAAAAATGGGTACAGCAGCGCAGCTAGCTACACCTAAACAAAACATTCACCTTGGCTAGTTAAATTACAACCATTACAATTCAGCAAGGCTGGAAAGGTTGCCAATGGATAGTGGAATCAACCCATCAAGCTGATTGGCTGAGAGGTCACTGCCAGCACGCATTCGGAAAGCCAGGCAGAAGACAAACACTCATGAGGCACCTAAAAAATGGACCCATCAAGCTGATTGGCTGAGAGTTTTGAGAATTCTCAAAAGTCGCACCAATATAGCAGAAGACAAACACTCATGAGGCACCTAGAAAATGGACCCATCAAGCTGATTGGCTGAGAAGGTACGCATCCCTTTCACACCTGTTGCTCTTCCCAACCTACAAGAATGCAAGCTCATTGAGTTGGGATATGCCTCCTGGGATTCGACCTCTTAGTCTATTTGCAGTCATGTTCCTGCCATCACAGTTACAACATTGCAGGAATAGGTGTGCAAGAAGAAGCACCCGAATAAGAAACATCTATTCTTACAGCACAAGAATCAAGTAACAAGAAATACTAAAAATAAACACATCATACTTATCTATCTGACTTCAAAATAAAAAACAGCTGAGCCCTTTTGTAGCATGTAAAGATGGAGTAGTATGGGGTGGTCTTGATTCTTCAGGATAAAATAAATGTATATTCATATGGATGGATTAGTATTACAGGTATGAAATGGCAGAAAGAAAAGTGAGCTCCATTGGCAATGTCCCATCCAAGGCGTTGCTCCCAAGATGACTGAAGAGGCATTGCACAGACATCGAAACTAAAGACAACCGAACGGCATTGAAAAGACATTCAAACGTATGAAGTGAGACATTCAAAAGACAACGGAACGGCATTGAATGGCATTCAAATGCATCGGAATGATCGCCGTTGAAAACACATTAAAACAGTGAGGCTCGTTACAGTGAGAATCGTTACAGTGAGACTTGTTACAGTGAGACTCATTATGGTGAGACTCGTTACAGTGAGACTCGTTACAGTGAGAAACGTTACACTGAGACTCGTTACACTGAGACTTGTTACAGTGAAAATCGTTACAGTGAAAATCGTAACAGTGAAACTCGTTACAGCGAGACTCGTTACAGCGAAAATCGTTACAGTGAGGCGAGGTTGGTGAGAAGGCCGAGCGTGGGAGGAATGGAGCCCCCTAAGCTGTTGCTGCTCAGATCTCTGGAATTTAGATAACAGATCGAGCAGAGATTAGGATCAGAAGCAGCACACATTTGGTTCTTGCATGCATGCATGTGTGGACAGTGCATGCATGTGTGGACGGTGCATGCATGTGTGGACGGTGCATGCATGTGTGGACGGTGCATGCATGGTCCTCGCCCAATCTGCATTCTCAACTTGAGAGGCACGAGATGACAGTGCACGCAAGAGCATGGGAGAGAGAGCTTTTGAGTCGACTCAAAAGCAACTTGAGAGGCACGAGATGACAGTGCACGCAAGAGCATGGGAGAGAGAGCTTTTGAGTCGACTCAAAAGCAACTTGAGAGGCACGAGATGACAGTGCATGCAAGAGCATGGGAGAGAGAGCTTTTGAGTCGACTCAAAAGCAACTTGAGAGGCACGAGATGACAGTGCACGCAAGAGCATGGGAGAGAGAGCTTTTGAGTCGACTCAAAAGCAACTTGAGAGGCACGAGATGACAGTGCACGCAAGAGCATGGGAGAGAGGATGACTAGCTGTTCAAGTCAAGAGCCCACCCACCACGTGGCAGTGGGCGCACACACCAACGTACAAGAAACAGACTTGCAAGCTCGTTACTTGAATAGCTGAACTAGTTTACACAATGTTCTGATTCTATAGTGGAGTTTTGATCCATACTGGCTCTCTAAGAAACGTTCTAAGCTCGTGCTTAACCAGGCTCTTTTCCTCCAATAATCCATGGGGTTTGTCTCGTTGTCCTAGAACAACACGAGTTTTTGAGACATTTCAAAACAACATCCCATGGAGTGGGGTTTGTCTCGTTGTCCTAGAACAACACGAGTTTTGAGACATCTCAAAACAACATCCCATGGAGTGGGGTTTGTCTCGTTGTCCTAGAACAACACGAGTGTTGAGACATCTCAAAACAACATCCCATGGAGTGGGGTTTGTCTCGTTGTCCTAGAACAACACGGGTTTTGAGACATCTCAAAACAACATCCCATGGAGTGGGGTTTGTCTCGTTGTCCTAGAACAACACGAGTTTTGAGACATCTCAAAACAACATCCCATGGAGTGGGGCTTGTCTCTTTGTCCTAGAACAACACGAGTTTTGAGACATCTCAAAACAACATCCCATGGAGTGGGGTTTGTCTCGTTGTCCTAGAACAACATGAGTGTTGAGACATCTCAAAACAACATCCCATGGAGTGGGGTTTGTCTCGTTGTCCTAGAACAACACGGGTTTTGAGACATCTCAAAACAACATCCCATGGAGTGGGGTTTGTCTCGTTGTCCTAGAACAACACGAGTTTTGAGACATCTCAAAACAACATCCCATGGAGTGGGGTTTGTCTCGTTGTCCTAGAACAACACGAGTTTTGAGACATCTCAAAACAACATCCCATGGAGTGGGGTTTGTCTCGTTGTCCTAGAACAACACGAGTTTTGAGACATCTCAAAACAACATCCCATGGGGTGGGGTTTGTCTCATTGCCCTAGAACAACACGAGTTGATGGAAATAAGGCCTCCGCAGCTTGCATGTCCGCTTTGAACCCACGGATTGAACCTGCTCACTTACAAGCTCGTGAGTTGAATAGCCGAACCCACGGATTGAGGAATGGAGCCATTCAGGGAGTTGTGACTTAGGTCCCTGCACACACAAACATGGTATAACTTGCTAATTTTTAGGCGCCTTAAAACTACTCAAGTGTTGTGACTTTGGTCCTTGTGCACAGAAACATGGGAATGGGTGGGGTGGGGTGCAAGTGCATGGGAATGGGAGGGGTGGGATAATTGTGCATGCGAATGGGTGGGGTGTGGTAC